AGAACCCAATAGCAAGTGCATACTATGTACAAGTGCCTTTCCTTATGAAAGTGTTGCTGAGTAGAATAAGTTTTCTGGATCTTTTTCTGTCTAATTTTAATACGGCACTGAAGCTCACAAAGGTAACATCATCCTCAGAACGATCTGGATGGTCTTAATGCCTTGGCTCGCTCAGAATAGTGAGTTCCACATTAAGACTTGTATTGACAGAAGTCTCCTTTTGTTATATGGTAACATTTCAACTTGCTGGTCCTTCCTTGAAAGCGCAAAAATGAGGTGAAACTCTGGCACTTTCAAAGTTCAGATCCAGTTGTAAGTGAGGATATCGTTCGTTTTCATCTCTGGAGCTCCTGGCTTTAATGTTTCCTTGTACAATGCTCTGCTGTAGTTCTGCAATGAGTAGGTACGTGGGAGATGTCTTTCAGGGCCCACAGTGAGTTCAGAGATTCTGTTCTTTCTGTTCAATATTTTGTGAAGAAGCCTGTTTCTTTCGTCCACTCTATGCCTTGTTTATGGTGGGAAGGGTTTAAAGCTAATTCGGTGTTGCTGTGTGCTCTATAATTGTTCTCAGTCTGGCTGACCTCCCAAATAATGATAACATACTTTCCTCCTCTTGAACAAATTGATCTACTTTAGGCTAGTCTGTGCTTTCTCCAGGGTTTTGCCAGGTTCGTTTAGCCTCACCTTGCGTTAACGTCACCTCCTCGGCCTTGCACATGAGCCACTGTGAATGTTACGTATTCGAGAATGCTGAGAGTTGGGCGTTTTTTCCATTCCCTCTGTTTGTTTGACGTGAACCAGCTACTCTTCATCCTGTTTTCTGAAGTCCTTATTGCACCTTTAATGGCGTGTGCTGCTGCTGCAGTTGAAATGAAGCTGCAAGGCCTCGTGTCAAAGATTATTGATGGTCACAGTGTCCGGGGCAGGCTCTGCCCTTTTCAAGTGATACTGAAAAGCAGATGCGGACGTGCTTGCTCACATAAATTGTACCACGTTTCCTCGCTCGCTATTGTAGATTTTGGCTGGCAACATATTTGTCCTCGAGTAGCACCTGCTCCAGCTCTTCATGTTCAGCACACTGTGCTGTTGTTGTGATCCAGAGTCATTTCGTGCTATTGTAGTGCTATCTGTCATTGCTGTTTTTCAGCCTAGAGTTGCCTTTTAATAGGGATGAGTAATCCACGTGTGTATAAGGGTGAACTGGTTTATACTCCTATCTAGTACAGTTTCTTGCAGTCCCTTTTCTCTGTGTAAATAAAGCAACTTCACAGTTACATCTCTCCTTTCTAAAAGGTCTATTTTCTTTGGCCTTTTTCTGAATATAATACTTTTAGGTGATTTATTTTCTATGGGACCCTTAGCATACTTGTGAGTCCTATAACACAGTAAGTTCATGTTACAGTGCAGCATGGATGTGTTTGACAGCAAGATCAGCAGCAGAGATAGCGGTCTGTTTAAAATTGGAAACCTGTTGCCTTGATATACTTGGTTGGAGCCATCTGGAAACGTTACTCAACTCTCCCATTATTTCTCGTGTGGAGGAAGGAGCCAAGATCTTTGCTTCTTTGATGGACATTGAGGGACAGCTGAGAGATTAAATCTGCCTTTCACAGAGCATTCCAGCTCCCTGTGCTGTTAGGAAACCATATGCTCAGCACATCAATAATTCACTTCAGGAGCAAGACTGTCATAAACATTGTCTGTCTCTCACGGTGTGGGCTGGAGCACACGCTGGTCAGGTGTGTCCGTAGTCCTCTTCCTCCCCTTCCTTTCCCTCACCCCTTACGTCTTGCTCCTCCTACAAATGCTCTTTCATAAGATTATTTTATTTCCTTCCCTAGAGAGAAAAATCTACATCTGTCTCTTGCCCACTGTGTCACACCTCTGATTTGGCACAGCACGCTTTAACACCAGTGCTGTTTTCTTTCCATGACAACCTTAAATGCAAACCCTGCTCCGTGTTGTGGTATGAAAAATGATGGCATTTCGCAGAAAGGACAGCCCTTTTTGCAGTGCTGGAAACTTCCTTGTTATCCCATTAGATTCCCCAATCTGGACTTGCTGTCTGGGTGTTCCTTGCTCCTGTCACATCCTCCACATCTCAGATGCGTGGTTTACTTTGTCACCAGGTGGAGTGACCCGGTGTTTGTCCACAACAGAGGCTTGCAGCTCTTTTTGGGAGCTCCATCAGTAATGCGGATAGAAACATGGGTTTAAAATTGGAAGAGGCCTGGCTAATTGCCTTTATAATTTGCTGGATTTGAATAAAAGATTGTAATCTAAGGCAATAAAAATGATATTCCTCATAAATAGTGAGCTTCTTTGCAGTATGTGGGCAGGGAGAAACCTGGGCTGTCCAAAGCCTCTGTTCGGCACAGGAACTAAGCAGTGGTTGTTACTTGCAATGGATCATACAACAGCTTTAATGTGTGAAACAGCTCTCCTGTATACATGAAAAAGTGGTTAAAAATGGTGAGCATTTTGTCGTGTATGTTTCTGAAGAGGAGCACAGGCGAGGTTTGGATGCAGAGTAGATGATATGGGCCCAAATACTGCTCTATCCCGGTGCACTCTGTCCTGCAGCACAGCCCAGTTTATTTATATTACAGATCTATTTATATTGTTTCAGGATAACTTTCATCATTGTTCCAAGTGCATCTGGAAAGAGAGATGGAGGCTCGCCATGTGGCTGCAGACATGAGGAAACAGGAGGGAAAAAAATACTTAATCCTCTGCAAATGTTTTTTTCCTTTTGGCCTGTGGGGCTGGTGCTTCGTTTAACTTTAACCTAATGTCAAGTAAAGGAGGACTGGTTGAAAAGAAATTGTCCTTAATGGATGGAGCTTCGTGTAAACAAGAATCAATTCCTCAGTTCCCCTTTGCTTCCTGCTTATGTTTTCTTCCTGCACTGGTCAGGGAGAGCTTCCCCTTATCTCTCTGCTCTGAAGACATCGTCTGTCAACACTTTTTCCTTCCTACTCCACTGTTGCAACTTGGGTCTGGTGGTGTCTTATCTCTTGTTTTCTTGGTTAGCCTTTTCTGTGTCTCAAAAAGCAAAGGAAACCCAACCTTTTGCAGGGGAGTCTCTTCAGCAGGGCCAGTGTTACGGGTTGTAAGTCAGACTATTTGTGATACGAGCACACAGTCAGTGATCAAAGGAGTGTTTTTAAGTTGGCATTGGGGCAGATCTTTAGAAGTGTAATTTCTGAGCCTTCTTCCTGGATCATTAGAAAACTGCTACCCTGGATTAAAACACAGCAGTTATATATTTACGTAAATGTGTGTTCTCAGGGGAAGCTTTTGGTTTCAAACCATGGGTTTTAATGAGACATTTGGCCCTAAATGCCTCCTGGAATAGCTTTCTCCAGTTCCACAGTGTCACATCACACAGAAGATATTCATTGCAACGAAATGCTGGTATCCATGGAGTGGAAACCTGTAGCTGTGTAGTGCACCTCAGCAGTGACCTGGGGATTTCAGTGTGTTTCTTGCCCAACAGGCTTGGAACAGAAGAGGGTAGTCTTAAATTGCAAGATAAGAATGCTGCTATGAGATTAATTTTACTTCTAGATAAATTGTAATGCCTTCCACCTAAGAAAACCCAATGTTCGCCAGTGGAAGTGTGAACCACTATATACCTATACCTATACGTGAATCACTGCAAGCTGCTGACAAGGTTTCCTTTCCTTACTTTTCACCAATCCCCAGGGTTGCTGCTGAAGTGGATGATTTGGGAGACGGGCTCACTGGCGTCTGAGAAGGGGGTGAAGGCAAGGGAAGAGGATAACAAAGAGTAACCTTATAGGACAGAGGGAGAGAGAGAAAACTCTGACTTCCAGGACATAGAGAGGTTAACTGGGAGACAGAATTGTAGTATCTTGCTAAAACCAGAGCAGACGTAGTACCTAGGCTTCTATTCTGTCAGTTTTCAATTTCTTTCTCTCGAGGACGAGAACTGAGGTGGTGACTGCACTAACTGCTGATCCCTGAATTCAGATTTATTGGTTGCTTTGATCTAAGAATTCAGCAGATTCAGAAGTTTTATTCTGTGTGCTTGGCGGTTCCCAAGACTTCCAGTGGTTCCAAATTTATTGCAAGCTTCACAATATTTGGTGTTTTCCATGAAAGCTCAGCTCTAGAGTTCTAGGATTACAATAAAATCTATATTTAAAATTGCTTCTACAATTCAAAGGTGGAGACAGGGAGCATGTGAAAGCACAAACATTGCATTTGAAACAGAAAAACCAAAAAGGCAAATAACTGCACTTCTTCATATTATTCTCAATCTCTTCTAATTATTTGCTGAGGGTCTGACTCATTATTTATTTGCCGTTTGATACTTTAAATTGACATGCTCAGTGGTGGGTTTTTTGGTGACCACCCAGAATGTCTCTACTCTGTAACAAGAGGCCTCCAGTGTCATTGACCAGGTGTTTCTTAAATATACTGACTTTTTTGCATAGTGTCAAAATGTTTGATGCTTCAGCCAGCAGGGCAGTGTCAGGGTCAGAGATAACGCTGTGTACACTGTTCGGCCTCGGGTTTTTTGGTTTCTGGGTTTGGTTTGTTTTCTGGTTTTTTTCAGCTTGTGCTCTCTGGCCCCTGTGACTCCTGTTCACGTCGAATTAAAAACATGAAGATTGTCAGAGCGCTCCCCCTGAGAAGAAGGTTGTGTGGGTGTTTGTTAGGGATCTGTTATTAACCAAGCAAATTGATACAACAGAAATAGCAAGTTGCTGAAAGGCACTGTGTTGTGTGGTACCGCTCAGTGTTCAGTGAGAAATTACTTTGAGTAGTCACAGCAAACAAACAAGAGTAGAAAGGTCTATTGTTAGCAATGGAAATGTGCCTTGTGCCAGGTATTCATCTGGGGAGCCAAACAGCCAAGGTGTTTCTTCTCCCTGACAATGCACTTGATTTCAGGTTTTGGTGTTTTTGGCAGTTTATCCTTGTGATTTTTACCCCTTTCCCTCACCCCTCCTTTAAACCATGTTTCACAGATCTGGTGGCTGGATCCAGAACTGACATACGGCAATGCCAAGCCGTTTGTCTTCACGCAGGGCCACTCAGTGTGTAACCGGTCCTTCTTCCCTTGCTTCGACACGCCAGCAGTGAAGTGTACCTATTCAGCCACTGTCAAGGTAAGTGACCACATGGCTGTAACAGCTGCTGTTAACTTGTGAAAGCACAGTCACCTTGTGTGTGTACATACGATACAAAATACTCATTGTGGCATTCAGTGTTAGAAAAAATACTGGATTTTTTAGATCCCATTCTGGTTCTTGGGCCAGAATTGGGGTACTGCCACAAAGGCAACTCTGTTGCCTGTCAGACTTGAGTCTTGCCTTCCCTGTACTTAAAGTTGAAAGAGTAACCATGAAATGAGTAACTTGAAAAAGAGAATTTTGGCTGGTCATTTCCAGTAGTGGTTATTGATGCTAATACTCAGCTGTATTTTATCAGGTCTTGAAAGGAGAACCCCAAAGTTTTATGAAAGCAGCATTCAAATAATGTTGCATTTTATGTAGCTTAAATAATTTTATATGTGGGAAGTTTGAGGGGAGCTCGCATAAGAACCCATATTACCCTCCATAGGAGGATTAATACTTTTGATTGGTACGTTTTCATGGGCTGGGTAAATTATGGTATAAAAACCGCACAGAAATCTTACATTTTCTGTTATCTAAATGATTGTTTTAAATGTATAACCTCATACCCAGAGAGATCTGTGGTGTAGTCATTCAGCTGTGATCACCTAGTGAGTTGGTGTGTGGTGCTGGTCTTCCAGGCTCCAGCAGGGATACAGGTGCTGATGAGTGCCACCCAAAGTACCTACTTAGAAGAGGAAGGTATATATCAATTTTACATGGAATATCCAGTTCCTGCCTATCTAGTGGCCCTGGTTGCAGGAGACCTTATACATGCAGACATTGGTCCAAGGTAAGATTTGCAGTGAGTTGGTTCTGCTTTTTGTATTTCTGTGCAATGTTTCAGGATATAAGTAGTAAATACTTTTGAGTCATTGATAAGGGAACAGCTGGGACCATGACCTGTGAGCGTTCAGAGAGTCTGGGTTTTAGGTGGATATAAAGAACTGCATAGCACTGCATTGGTGAAGATATTTCCCTCTTTAATAAATGTTGCTTCTTGTCCCTTGTAGTCATTACAGCTACTTGTCTCATTGCCTTAAGGTGATTTAAGTGATCTTTGATTATCTCTCATCACTTATCCATTGAGTGTGAGTCTAAAGAAGGCCTGAGTTTGATGTGAGACCTCTTAGCACTATTACCATACATGGAAGTGTGGTGAGAAGTCAGGCTATTTTTCTAAGAGATAATTCAGTTTGCTGAAGTATCACCTGATGTTTTCTGTTTTCTGACAGGAGCAGAGTGTGGGCAGAGCCTTGTCTGCTGCCAACAGCCATCAGCAAGCTTTCTGGCATGGTTGAGCGCTGGTTGTCTGCTGCAGAGAGTCTGTATGGCCCATATATATGGGGAAGGTGAGTTTAATAAGTCTCCCATGAATGTTTAATGGGAACAAAATAAAACACTCTTGAGAAATTATCACGCTTTCTCTCTATGCAGTAGCAGGACAAATGAGCCTCTCACTTGGCAGCACTGTGGTAGTCAGAAACAAACTGGAGTTTTGTCTCTGCAAGTGGCAGAGAGGACCATGGAGGTGGGCTCTGCCTGATGTGGTGGGCAGAACTGGAGGGTTCTAAACAGCGAATCTTCCCTGAGGGAGTGAAGGTTGTTTTATTCTGTAGTGTTTTGTGATGCAAGTCCAGCATTGGGCTGGACACCATTGAAAATGTATGGCAGTTTTACTTACCTGTCTTATTTATTTTTATATATGGTACTTGACATATGACATACTTATTGATGTATCCCTGAGGATGCTGAAAACCTGACTCTGTATAGACTCATTGAGAGTTTTAGTCTCTAAAAACAACATTAAAAGTTTCTGAAGTTAAGCTTGACTATGTATTAAAAGAGAATGATTTCAAGAGAATGTTTTAATTCTTTGGATGGGAGAAAATGTTTGCAAATGCTTCCTATATTTCTTTGCTAAAGGTAAGCAAGAGGAATGTGATGATGTTAACTTACAAAATGTTGCTTGAAATGGTCTAAGAACAAGGCCGAGTGTGCCAGCATTGATCACTGATGGAGAAATTTAGAAAACAAACCAAGTAGTATTGTTACATTCTAAAGCAGAGGGATTAGAGTTGTTTTGCTGACACTGCAGGTACACCAGATCAGCTCAGTTCTTTGATAGCTTCGCAGCCTCTTTCTTTCCTGCAAGCGTCTGGGGACTTCACACTGTGTTTGTGGGTAGTGTAGAGTACACGTAGTGTTTCTGGCTCTCAGATACACAGTTCGTGATGAGTTAGCGTGAGTGAAGAGAACATGATGTGTCTGGGAAGTGCTGGATCTGCTGCACATGAAAAGACTTTCTAGTCTTTTGTCCAGATGTGAGCAGGTCCTTGGCCAACAGAATAAACTCTGATCCCCTGAGCAGAAGAATTAAGCACCACTGATGTAGAAAGTTTTTTTCCTGAAGTCACAAAAAAACTCTCAGAAGAACCTTCCTTAAGGGAAGAAGAAAAAAGTTTCTGTGTATGTCTTTTGAAATAGCTATAATTTACTTATCTCTTCTCTCCTCTCTTCTCTTTCCCTAATTTTAGATACGACATTGTTTTTCTTCCTCCATCCTTTCCTATTGTTGCCATGGAAAACCCCTGCCTGACCTTCATCATCTCTTCCATTCTGGAGAGCGATGAGTTTTTGATCATCGATGTCATTCATGAAGTCGCCCACAGCTGGTTTGGAAACGCAGTCACCAACGCTACATGGGAGGAGATGTGGCTGAGCGAGGGGCTGGCCACGTACGCACAGCGCCGGATCACCACTGAGACCTATGGTATAGTGCTGTGGTATAGCTTATGGTGTGTCTAACCAATAACTGAGAGTTGGCTGCACGGAATATTTGCCTTGGGAGCTCAAAGGTCTGTAAGGAGCTGGTTTTCTTTTTTAATATGTATTTCTGGAACACACATGGCCCCAAACTTCGTATTGAACATCTTGGTACTTAGGGGCTGATGTTGTCTTGGCTTTTGGTGGAATCAAGACCTGATCCAGTAATGGGAACTTTGAAGGAGGTTGTAAGGATATTTGTAGGAACTTGTAACTACTGTTGGGTACCAGGTAGGTGTTCATATGTCAGGGCAAGGTGAGCACAGGATGCTTCAGAGAAAGATGTAAGAAATCTTATCGTGGTTGCATTGTGAAATAACTATCCTCTGAATAAACATGTGGCTAATCCTGGTCAGTTGGTGACTACCTGCTGTTGGAAGGAATGATGGCAGTAGCCCTTATGAAGAAAAAAGTACGCATCTGCATAGCTGTCTGCTTATCTATTCAAGGCTTCCTGTGGAATTGTACAGCCTTGCCTTTGCTTTTATCAGTGAATTTCACGGGTCAGGGTTTTTTTTATACATATATGTATATGTATGTATGTATGAAATATATACATATATATGTATATATGCATGTATATAGATCAGTCTTCAGAATATGTAAGTAGTAAATTCCCATTGCTTTTCAGTTTAACTGGATTTTTATAGAAGTGAATAATGGTAACGTACGTTCCTCTAGTTTGTCCTGTTACGTTCTTAAAAGCCTGTACCATGTGTATTCTCGCATGTCCACTGTAAACAGTCTTGGAAAAATTCCTGGAGGTCTTGGCAGTGGGAGTGTTTAGAAGGATGCCTTTGTTTTTATCCATGCGTGTTGTTTTTGGAGATGAGCTGATGATAGT